AGCATATTTTAATTCAAAAACCTTGTTTACTCTTTTGAGTATTCTCTTAAAATAGTGTGATGCTATTTTAGCCAAATTCCTAATTCTATATCTTAAGAGTGGTTCTCTTAAGTGTGAGTTTTAGGTTCTAGATATTTAATTAAGTGTGTCATATCTTGATTGAATTCTAGATTCAAACCCCAAGTTAAGATAAGAGTGTGTTATATCTCTTAACACCAACTTGGTTTATCCCTTCACTTTACCTCTGCCAATTTCATTTCTCACCATTTCTTCTTCTTGAACTTATTCTTTTCTTTCATCAAAAACCCAAAAAAACAACTCTTTGTTCCACCCCCATATTTCGTCCCCCTCATTTCCTCTTCACCATTCCATAATTCCATCTTCAAATAGCAACTTGATTATACCCCGGGTCTCGGGTATAACATTTATTTCCCAAACTAAAGAAAGTTTTTTCAAATTTTTTAGTTAAACACCATTATGATTAACTCAGGATTACCTCATTGATCTATCCAAAAACTAAATGTAATAATTTACATATGATCAATGAGTTAATTGTGTAATTGTCTTACTTTTTGGTAAGACAAGTATGACTTTTAGTGTATGTTGGATAGTGGTTAGCCTAGTCATAGACCTTTTTTGGAAATAATTTTAGTTTTGCCTAAATTTTAATTCTATTTCTGTACCTATAAACATTCTTACAATTCTATTCACCCCTCTAGAGTTGAGCACACATTGTAACAGCTCACACTTAAATATTAGACTCAATCCTAGTATTTTTTCCTCACTTTCAGAGTGAACACAAATTCAACTTTCTATGTTTGTAGCCCCGTATAAGTTTTTGAATTCATGCTTCAAGCGAAGGAAGAAAATACCTTTTCACTAGTGGGGGACATTTGTGGCTCAATTTTCCGGGGGTGTTGTTGTTGTTTAAGTATCTCTTTGCATTGTACTTTGTATGTTGTAGAGTAGCTATGATTGTTATACGTAGACTGTCATAGTTTCCATGTATCATGTTTATGTGCTTTTACTTTGTTCGTGCTATGGTGTTACTTTGTGTGTGGATTGGTGTTTGAGCAGGGTTTCTCTTGGAAATAGCCTTTGTACTTCCTAGTAGGCGCTAAGTCTTCATACACAAACCCTCCCCAGACCCTTCTTTTTGTGGGATTTTACTGGATTTTTTATTATATCTAAATTTTCCTGAATGGGGTTGTTTGTTAAACAATTGACAATTCACTTTGTAGTTGTGCTTTTCCGCTTTAAAAGGTTTGGAATATTTTTTTTTGGAATAAATTTTTTTCAAAAGAAAAAAACTACTCCAACCGTCCAAAAATTTCTTTCCCACTTTGAATTTTCACAGACTTTAAGAAAAAGTAAAAATTGTGTTGACTTTCCCACAATTCCCCTCCACTTTTCTTCACAGCCCCATCCATGTTTCCCCGTCACCATTGTCTTCTGTCTTCATCACCTCTGTCCTCGCCATCACGGTCTTCCATCCTCGGCGCTTCCGTCCTCCATCCTTGCCACCTTCTTCAATTTGACTCTGTCTACAGCTTCATATCTTCATCGATGTTGCTCCCCATCAAGCACCTCAATCCAATCTCCGTCGTTGTCGGATCTTCACCGGTTAGATCTTGAGGATGACGAAGATGGAAAGGGCGGCGTGGGATGATGGCAACACCCAGATCGGCGACTGTTGACATTCGACCAAGTCGTTTCTTAGATCTTCAATTAGATCTTGGTAGATCTAAGAATAACATGAGGGCGTGGGGTAGAATTATAGAAGAAGAGGCTGAGGTGTGGGGTGGAATCGAAAAGAAAAAGCTGGGGTGTGGGTGGAATCAAAGAAGAAGAAGAAGATGGCGTGGGGTGGAATCAGAGAAGAAGACGAAGTTGGGTGGGGTGGAATCAGAAAAGAAGAAGTTGGGGCGATGGTGAAATCAAAGAAGAAGAAGACGATGGGGCGTGGATTGAATTGAAGAAGAACCAGGAAAAGGCGTGGGTTGGGTGGGGGTTAAAGGGTAGATAAGTCATTTAATATAATTTTCCAAAATAGGAAACGGGAAGAAAATTCTTGGACGGCCCAAAAAGGAAAGTGGGAAAGAAATTTTTGGACGGAGTACTTCGTAAGTCAGATGGTTTATTTAATCTGATACCAAGGTTTGATAGATACCTTATGTATATTATTATATATTTATATTGGAGGTCTCAAACCATGATATTCTCATACAAAACTATGCTCAAATATCTTTTAAGATACAAATAAATTGCGATGAAATTGAAGCCTGCTTTTTGTTTGTTGTAATGTTGTCAGATCCGACCTGTATTTGAAGCACATGGATGTGTTCTTGAGGTAGCTGTGATTAAAGATAAGAGAACAGGACAGCCACAAGGTATGTATAACACATTTGTTTTTAATAATTTTGTGGAGATCTACGTAAGTATATGTTTTCAGGTCCTTCAAGGGGCTGAAGGGAGCAACTTTAAGCTTTTGTTTCATGTTGGTTAATTTTCCAATTGGTTGGTCATCAACTCTGTCAAGAAGGCGAGAAGCATATACATAAAATATACCTTTTAGACAGTAGAAACCCTAAATAAGTGATTGGTTGATTGTTGTTATTTCAATATTGCATCATTTGCATGGGATGTAGTGTTGGACCAAAAGATCTGGTTGGAAGGGAGTTGGCAGGGGGTTCAATGTATTAGGGATTTATCTATAATTGGTTTTCTGTATGCGTCAATCAGAACTACTGTTGTACAACCCTTGGTATGAAAGATGTTCGGTACCTATTAATAACGAATGCCTCTCTTAACCTTTTATCCCTTGGTATGATAGCTTTTAAATTTCCTTATTTTTTGGTAATTGCTCATTTCAATGCGTGTACTATCCAATAGTTTTCTCTCTACACATTGATCTTGTGCAAACATTTTTTGGGGTTGTATATGTCATGGGTGTGTACGAAATTATGAATATTGAGTTATACATTTGCATAGTTGCACGTGTATTACTGAGTTTCCGTTAGTGATTTAATTTGTATCTTGTTCTGTAGAATTTGTGCAATGGTCTGATGGGATTGGTAGATTTTTCTGTGAATTGATTGCATCATGCATAATCTGAGTTCTGACGTGGTTGGATTCATATATTTCTCAACATTATGCTTATAACTGTGTTAATTTATTAGTCTAAGTGTATATAGTGACCTGTAGCCGAGTGTATGGATTTCCCACATGTGATTAGAGGGTTAAAAAGTTGTACTGTTTTTCATGGGATAAAATGCGGATATATAGATCATTTGTGATCTGGTTCAATATTCCAACTTTATTAATATGCACTTATGTAGTGCTTGTGACGTGCTCTTAAGCTTACTCTTATTTTACAACTGTTTGGATGGTTGTGTACTTGTGATGTCCTGGTGAATGATTATATAATGCTTGTTATTAGCTGTCAACACATTTGCCACTTTGTTTCTTTATTCCCTTTTCATGTGCCTTAAACTTTTATGCTTTTGTTGGCATGCCCGACACTCCGACATCTGTAATGCTGTGTGCACTGTGCAGTGATGTATCCTTAGAAAAGATTTATCATGGTGTGATGGCTGTTATATGTTATTCTCAGTATCTGTTTGTTTGAATTACGGTCAATGTTTGACCGTTATACTTAATCTTAGCCTTCTGGTATTATTTAATTTTGACAGTATGATCAATATGATGTGTACCATATGGTTGACAATCTGATGGAAATGTCATATCCTACCCTGTGGTTGATGCGTAGAGTACTCCCTGATTCTAAGCAATTTATAGTGCAATTACTTATTGCAGCTAATGAATTGCAACACTGTTCCTTATGATGCGCCTATTTTGTATTTATATTTAGACTTTGGGTCACCTTCATTTTGGTGTTTGTAATGTCAGACCTTTGGTTTTGCTGGAACTTTTTGGGAGATATCTTATTTTGTTAACCCAATGAAATTCATCACTGATTTATGATTTTCTCTTATCATTTTCTTTGGTCAAATGGAAAGTTTTCTTTTTGGATGTGATAGATATGTCTTCCCAGTTAAAGATGCGGTGTCTATGAGGCTGTCGGCTGTCTTGTATGCAATGCGGCCATCAGTTTATCTTTTTGTGTTCATGTTAACAACTTATATCATATTTGAGCTTTGAACAAAGGCTTGGTATGCACTGTATGAATGCATGCCTGGTCTAGAATACTGATTTATTCTCCCTGTGCATTAGCCACTGCCCACATTTCAATTTTATTAGAGCAAAGATGTAGGTAGTTTGAGTGGATAGAAGTGAACAGTGTACTTCAGTGTTTGTGGTTCAACATACATGTAAATGGAATCATCTGCAATTTGATACAGCTTTTAGGATGGCTGGAACCATCACTATTTTATGGAAAGTGTCCAACTGCTTTTGCAGTCCCTTTAGCTTTATTTTGTTGCAACTACAAGGATGACGTGTTATCCACTCTAGAAGATGTCCGTGGTGGCACATTCGTGTACAATAGAAAATGATTTTTAGCGACGGTGTTTCCCTTTAGGTCCCTTCAATTGAGAAACATCAGCTCTTTATATCAGCTGGTTGCTCGCAGTTTAATTATCTTTTTGTGCTTTCCATTGGGTTTTTTGATAGTTCGAGTATCTCTGGTGGTCTCTTCATATGAATGCTGATGAGCTTAAATTTTTTCTCCCTGATGAATGAATAGCCTTTTCTCAGTCTTATGTTTCATGCACACACATTTCTTATGATTTAGTTTGAATATCGCTTCTCTTTTGCTTTGTCATGATGGCTTCATTGCTAAAGGCTGTGATACACTGTTCCATGTTTTATTCCATAACTTTTGTTTTTAAGTATTACAATGATGAATCACAGCATTTGAACTAATGCTTCATTACTCATCCCTTTGACTTTAAAGCTATGCAATGCTTTCACTTGTTGGATTTTCAAGTTCTTCTCCATCTTATTAATGAGCTCTACATAAAGCTTTCCTCCATCTTTAATCTTTTGCATTGCGATGTTAGATCTCTCTCTCTCTCTAGATGAATGTCGATGAATAAAGAAACATCTAGCTTCTCATACAGTGGATGCTCTATGTAAATCATGGTTTCGCTCTAGTGAATAGACATTTTATTTTTCTTTGCAGTTCTGTTAGCGGCGTTTTGTGGATTTCGTATACTGTACATTTTTCTCACATTGGCATCTCAATGACTGTTGTTAGCAGTCTGCTATTGAGCTATTATTTCTTTTGTACTCTTGATCTTGCATTCTGTTTTTATGCGTATGGTGTGGTCTGCTGAGCATCAGTCAGCTTACCGTTCCAATATGTTGTTTCCATTACTTGAACAAGGGATAAGCTTTTATATAAGTGTGGATGTGTCGGTATTAGCTTGATGATTTGAGATGAGAATTTTAGATTCAAGTGTCTTGGATTACATTATATGGATTATTATTACTACAAAAAGTATGAAATACTTTTTATAGACATCAACAATTTTGCTGATTTGTTCAGAATTTTCTTGAAGCTACTTTGTTTTCTATTTCATTGAACCATATGATATCTTGTTCAACTATTCTCAAGCATCCGTGCTGTGGCTTGTAAAGTTCTTGTCATCTAGTGAAGATAATTGTTATCTGTGATATGAGAGCACAATTTTATGACTTCTGCAGGTTGTTGCTTCATTAAATATGCTACCTCAGAGGATGCTGACAGGGCCATTAGAGCCTTGCATAACAACTATACTTTACCAGGGGGAATAGCTCCCATTCAAGTCAGATATGCCGATGGTGAGCGAGAACGACTTGGTAATGTAAAGCTTTCAAGTTTATTTTCTTTTTTAATCATTTCAGCACATTCAACTCTAGCAAGTTGGTTCCAGATTATCGAGGCATATCCTTATTCTTTTTACAATTGTTCTTTGCGACTTCCATCCTTTCGTGCCAAAAAGTTGGTGCTAACTATTTATATGTGAGTTTTCTTATTTGTGGGTTTCTTTAGGTACAGTCGAGTACAAGTTATTCGTTGGGTCACTTAGCAAACAAGCTTCTGTGAAGGATGTTGAAGAGGTGGGTTTGGTGTAACAAATGTACCTAGGTTTTCACTAGGCACTTTTATTTGCGTAAGTTGTGCAGAAAAGACAAGCTAGAAATTTGTTCTCTATTCCTTTTCCGTCTTGCCTTCCACCCCCCTTGGCTCTTAAAGGATGAAGGATCACGCAATAAAGGGGTGTAAATGTTTGATGTTTGTAGCAATAAATTTAAAGACAGATATGGTTAAGTCTTGAAATTTTTATATCTATAAGGTGATAGTGTTTAGTCTCACATATTGACCCAGTAGAAATGAAAAAAGAAGAATAATGATTTGGATTAGTTTTACATGTTTTTGTATATCATTGGATTGGGTGATTAACTAACTACTGTTGCTATATCCTTTATCTTAGATTTTTTCTCCTTATGGTCGTGTTGAAGATGTCTATCTCATGCGTGATGAGATGAAGCAGAGCCGAGGTATGTCATTTTACTCATGTCATCGTGTCTCTCTATGTACTATATCTTCTCTGCCCACATGATTGTGTGACATTAAAAGAACACTAACTTTGATAAAGTAGTGCTTCCTCTGGATCATTGTGATGATATGGAAAGGATTTGGTTGATTATAAAGTTTAAGTCTATGATGCAAGTTTTTACTTGTCTGGTGAAGTGGTGAACATGATTCCATTTCGAAGTCCTAATTTTGGATTGTTGTTGCAGTTACAAAAATTTTTTAATCAGGAAAACCCTTTTGACAACTACTTTTGGGATTTGTAGTGTGGAAGTGCTTTGGATAGTTCTAATATTCGGCATTGGGGTTGAGAAGTCATGATCATCATAATCAGAGACTTCATCTCATCTAAGTGTCTTTGGTGACACAATTGTTTTAGTGCAATGTCAATGTTTTTCTGGGTGACGCCCTCCCTCCTATCTTCATAAGAAGCAATTCATGGAGGTTGAAAGGTGTTATGCAAAATCTGAAATGTCTAAACAACAACCTAGTACAATCTCAATTTTGTTACGCTTGATCCATTGCCGCATTTACTACCCAAAACAATAACTACAACATTACCCCAGTGCCTCAAAGGATCCTGCCTATTGCAGGGCAGGGGGGGAGGTCGGATATACGCAGCCTGACCCCTATGTTTATAACATAGAGAAGCTGTTTCCGGATGACCCATGATGAGCCCAGAAAGTTTCATTGACTAACTGCTACTTCACTAATGAAAGGAGTGCAGACGGTTTAAACAGCCATTTTGCTTAATTCCATAATATCCCAAAGCCATAAAATAGTGAATCTTTGGCTCCATCGGAGATGGTGGAAAGGCATTTACTATCCAAAACATCATAAAAAGTACGAAGCATTGGAAGTTTATTGTGCCATCTTGATTTAGTTCATTTTTTACCTGAAGCTTTTCTAGTTAGGGGTAAGGTGTGCTGACACCCACCCTCCAAACCCCATTCTTGGGACTTTACTGGGTTGTTGTATTTACCCGAAGCTTAAACATTGGCAATACTGATTTATTTAGCTCTATGGGCCATTTATGCAAAATCTAAAATCTCTAAGGAAATATTTGAACTCCAACAACAACAACAACAAACCCAATATAATCCCACCACACAAAGTAGGGTCTGGGGAGGGTGAGTGTACCCAAACCTTATCCCTACTTGGAGGTAGAGAGGTTGTTTTCAAAGTATTATATACTCATAATAAATATTTTTGAACTCCGAAACACACAATTCAGACTTTAAGGTTATAGTGGATTTGGCATTCCAAACCATAATTTAGACAATAATCTATATTTATTTGAGCTTGGCTAATGGAAAAGGGAGTTTTTTCCCGCAAATGCAATCCCAAATGAGGCCTAAATAGCTGAGCAATCATTTCTGTTGGTTGGTATCTTTTACGAGTAATTTTTATCATCAAATTATTCTTGCCCTATATTCAAAATGTTTGCTCTTTATCTGTTTACTTTGGTCTTTTTCATAGTTTACTACTCACTTTGTCTGAGAGTTTGTCCATTTGGACTTTTCATGGTCAAATATAACAACCTTTGACCTGTATAAAATTGAAGAACACATAGAATGATATTAAGAAAATGGCTTCACAAGACGTGTCTTTCAAAATATTATCATATTTGTTTTCAAAGTTTTTATTTTAGATAACATTCCAATACTGCAATGTTCACCTATAAGACCATGAAGAGTCAAATTGGACGATCTCATTGGGATGTAGGTAGTATACATTTAGTTATCTTTTACTTATCTCTGTAGTAACTAGTAGTGCCGTCCTAACCTTTGATCTGTGAACTGCTTTGAAGGGTGCGGATTTGTCAAATATTCAAATAGAGAAGTGGCATTGGCCGCAATTGATGGTCTTAATGGAAAATTTACAATGAGAGTAAGCTAGCATCAGTTCTCAATACCCTCTTTTTCATTAAAAGTTTCAGTGTTTTTTTTCAATATAGTATTTGCGCTTCTATCACTTAATTATCTTCTTTTACATACCAGGGATGTGACCAACCTTTGATTGTTCGATTTGCGGACCCTAAGAAGCCTAGATTTGGGGAGTCAAGGTAGGTGTTTAAGAGCTTCATGTTCAAAATTGGAATAAACAGTTGTTTATATCTAGCTGTTTATATTCTTGGTTAATTAATATGAATGAACATTAACACACCTGCATATTTTCAGTCCCTTCCGTTGTGCATCTATCATTCTATTGTTTAGTCATCATTTTCATTTACAGGGATCCATCATTTGTGGGGCCTGGTTATGGGCCTCGCTTTCAAGCCCCTGGAATTAGGTATATTTCCAACCAGTTTTCTATTTTTTGAAGTTCCACTGCAATGCTATGCCATGCTAACTTTTTCTTTAACTTATACCGTCGGATAGACCACCACATCCGAATCTTACGGAGCCCGCGTATGGACAGAATGCTCCTAACTCATGGCGTCCCATGCCCGCCTTTAATCCATCACAAGTATCTAACGCTATTAACACCCATGGTTTTGGAAATCAAGTCTCTCCTAGATCAAATGACATGCAAGCACCCTCCTCATTGGTAAGGAAAAATTATACACAGATTTTTATTGATTTTTTCCCCGGAGTGTTTTGTTGTTCATGCACCTTCTGGATAAGAACGCATACTCCCCCATCCCTAAAATGATTCGCGTTTAGGACACTTTTTTGTCCCAAAAAAGAGTTCATTTTGGTCAAGGGAAGCTGATTTTTCAAGTAATTTTCCCAAAATGGCCAAAAACATTTGCCCACACATCACTCTTTTTTGTGAAGTTAGGTATGGAGTAGTATTCTTGTTTTCTTTTTCACGGTAATGCGTAGGGAAATGGGATACAAATTAACAGTTGATACATGTATGTCACCAATAAGGATAGATACGCAGATACGCTACTAGGATTTTTTCCCGGAGGTGTTTTGTTGTTCATGTAAGGATGCAACTTTTTTACTAGTAACTGATACTCCCACCACTCCCTGCCAGCTCTGCCACAACCTTCACGCGTCTCTCTCGTCCATGTAGTAGATATTGTCGACGTCAAAGTTGAACTACGCCTCCTACATCTCCTCAGCTATGGATGTCAGCGACAATCTAGAAAGTTGAAGAAAAGCTGAAGGGAGAAAATGAAATTTAGGGTTGGGTGGGTAGTATTGTAGTAATGAGGGTGGGTGGGAAAGTAATGTCAAGGGTAGATAAGACATTTAATACAAATAATTTGGTCAAACAATACTCCTGTTATGGATCTTGTGGTAGTTCAATTTTTAATCGTGATATATTGTACTGTATAGATTGTAACTAATGTCATCTTTTTTTCTACAATTTAGGGAGGCCGTGGTGCTAGCGGGGACAATTCATTTCCTATGCGTCCAGTTCCCTCCCCTTCTATGGCACAACAGGTTTAAATTAAGCATTGATGATGAGTAATTTTCATTAGCATGGCATTACCCTAAGTTAAAAATCCTATCAGCATCATGTTGTTTGCATGAAATGTTTAGGGTGGCCATAGCAGCAGTGGGGATAGCTCATATCCAGGGTTCCCTGTTTCTTCTTCTTCTTCTTCTTCCATGTCCCAAAAGGTACACAAGACAACTCTTAAATTTGATTATCATTTTTCATTCCATACAACTATTTCTTCTTTTCTTAATAGTATCCTTATAAATTCATTGTTGAGTTTCATGTAGGGGTCAAACCAGCCCTTGGTGCAAAGCCTTTCAATTGGCCAGCAAAATTCTCCATCACAGAAGCCTCTTCCATCACCACAACATTTTCCCTCTTCCCTGCAACAACAGAAATCACCTATGTTGCATGGGTATGGCCACCCGGATACTCGGATACATGGATATGGGTACGATACCACATCTATTCAGTAATACGGAGTAGTTTTTTTAGACTTCTATGGTATGTTTGGTCCTGGGAAAATGATAGGTGAAAATGGCTAATAAGTTTTCTTGTGTTTTGTTTGCCTTGTAAAATGCAAAGGAAAATGAAACATGATTAATTAAGTAATTTACCTTTACATATATTTGCAAAGGAAAATGAGACATGATTAATTAAGTAATTTGTTTTTGCATACTCCGTATATTTAAATTTTTTAGTCTTTACGTATTTAATAGTCATAGATAATTAGAATGAATATCAACAATGATCCTAAATGAATTTATTGACTTTAGCCTATCTTTTATATTATTCTTTCCAATTTCTTTTCTTCCAATCTTGTTTTCCTTCCTATCATCTTCCCCTAGTATTTTCCGGATTCAAAACGGACCCTTAGCGTATCAAACACGGCAACCGATGGATGTAATGGTATATCATATGAAAACCAATATCAACACCCTTATCTCAAACACAAAGTTGTCATGCATTTTTTCAGGCAGCCTCAAGTGCCAATAATACCCCCGTCTGCTGGTCAAACCCCGGTTGGTAAGGCAATGACACCTCAGCAGAATGTGCCATCTGGATCGTCAAACCAACAACACCAAGCTCAACAGACCCTTCAACATCAACCACCATCTCAGTTAGCTCAGATGATGTCACAACAAACACAAACTTTACAGGCAAGCTTTCAGTCATCACAACAAGCCTTCTCTCAGCTTCAACACCAACAAAGGCAGATGATGCAACCGCCTTCTAACCAAAACGCAACAACTACTCAGCTGCAGCAACATTCTTCTTGGCCCGGGCATGCTCAGCAGCAACCACCTCCAGTCACTTCCTTTCAATCACCTCTTGTTGCAACTAGCCAGCCTGTTGCCGCTTTTAAATGTGACTGGACAGAACACACTGCACCTGATGGGTACAAGTATTACCACAACAGTGTAACTGGTGAAAGCAAAGTAAGCGCCCGGACATAATTTGTCTGCAAGTTAAGATGTGGTACTCTTTTGACAATATGATTATATTTAAATGTGCATTTTTTGAATGTCAGTGGGAAAAACCAGAGGAGTTGACCTTGTTCGAACAACAGCAGCAGAAACAACAAGAACAAACAAAGCCTTCTTCCACCACCCAACAACCTCAAATGCAGTCTTACCCTCAACAAGGCATATCTCAACATCAAGCTTTTCATATGCAAGGGCAGTATCAAAGTCCACTTCAGATCCAGCTCCGTGCCCCACAACAGCTTCAACAACAAACATCTCAAGCACCATCTGTACGTTTCTGTTTCAGATTTCAATATTTTTTACTGGAGTCATCATTTTTGTCAACTCTTCATTATGTTGTTATCTTTGCTGTCAGTATCATCAGGACCCTGGAAGGATTGTTCAACGAAGTAATCAGGTATCACAATTATTTTTTTTCTCCAAATGTATTCAGTTATGTGGCAATGGGTTGTAAAATAAAATACTCCCCCCTTTTTATTACTTGATCTTTTATAGCATTTGTCATTTGTTTTTTACTCCCTCCGTCCGTTTTTCTAAATGTGGAAAGTTTTTTTAACACAGGGTGTTAGAGGATGGGTAAAGATAATTTTTTGGTGAAAATGGGGAATGAAAAAGTTTGGGATGGATAGTGTAGTATGGAAAAAGGATTATTAGATGTGTAGTGTAGGATGAAAATGGGTAGTGTAGTTCCTATAAAAACCTTTCAGTTGTGAAAATTATCCCTCCTTTAATTTCTACTTTAGTCAAAATGGGTAACACTTTATGGGACGGAGGGAGTATTTGATTACTTTTTGCCATTTTAATTAGAAAGAGAAAAATTTACTTTTTTTAATCTGATGGTAAGAAGTCTACAGTGCCTATTTTGCATTAATCCAGTTATTTTCTTAGGATGCCTATTTTAGTTATTTTATACTCCGTGCTTTTTTATTCACCCAAAAAAAGGAAAAATGGAATACCAAACTAACAAGAGTGAAATCTTCTTAATTCTGGTGCTATATTCTAGAATTTAATAATAATAATAATTGCAATAAATGTAAGATTTCAAATTTTATAGATGTCTTGAATGACTGTTTTTGGGATTGTGAGCACTGTTGAATAGAAATTTGGAATAGCCTTGTTGACTAGAAATTTGGGAATTGCAGGAACATTCTTATGCGCATTTACCACATGCAGCTGGTTCAGCAAATGATACACTTCATATCCAACAGGTTGGTGTGTTGTGTGAATCAGAAATTCAAACAAGTATAGTTTTACATGATGTTTGAAATACAAAAATTGTTAACACTGCTTGGTTCAAGAATTTGAAAGATAAAAGAAAAGAAAATGAGAAGGAAAATCGTTTATCATCTTTGGTTAAAGAGGAAAATAAAAGAAAAGTGGAAGGAAAAGATGGTAAAATGTATTATTTTGTGGGAAAACAAATTCCTTCCCATTTGGAGAGGAAAATGAGAGAAAATCATTTTCTTTTCTTTTCCTTCCAAATTCCTTGAACCAAACATAGTGCAAGGAAAAAGATGAAAGTAAAATATGTAGTAAATTTTTTCAATGCTTGGCTTGTCTTTTAACTCGAAAAATATGAAGTACTTCATAGTAGAGTATAATTTGACTAAAATGCGAGGGGAAAACACGCTACATTTTTTTAGATTTCCTTGCTCTTTTACTCCCTCCATCCTGAAAAAAGAGTTCCACATTGGAATCAGTATTATTATTAAGAATTGTGAAATTGTGTGGCTGATTTTTTTACATACGAGTGATAATATAAGCCACATGATTTATTTCTTTTGAAATTGTTCATCTATTTTCCTCATTTGCCCTGGTAATTTCTGCGTTCCAAATGGACCCCTAAGCTCACAATGTCTCTTTCGGATTTGCAGGGGCTTCATGCTGGTCAAGAATGGATGTCAAAGAGTAAGCATGCAGTGATATATGCACACATATAGTTTTGTTTGATAAGTAACCTATTCTTCACACTCATCTATGATTGAATCTTTTTTCACATTCAGGGCCGTGATTCGCCCAGTTGACTAAGCCATGTCCATAGATAGATAGAGGCTAGAGCATGGCGTTCCTTGAGCTGATAGGGGGGGTTCAAATAGTCTCATCGAGCTTATGATAGTTTATTTAATATGTGAAGGGTAATGGCCCGTTGTATACAAAAGCAATGTTGTCTGTCTTTTTACTGTCCTTTTCTTTTTCCGACCCTTCACTTTCCTGGGAGAGGATGTAACTGTTTTGGTCGTTGCGGCATTTACGGGTATACCCTAAAAAAACAACCGTGGATCATGAGGCCGGTGGCAATGTAGTCCGTGTTTCATTATAGTAGTTTACATAAATTGTTGTTTGTGGTAGTAGCAAAATTTGTCACAGTAAAGCTTATTATTCACATTGTATTCTAGTAGTATTATATGATGCAACTTTGTTAACATCTGTAGACCAAAACCAGATGTGTTGTAAGGTACCCTACCACCACCCTTTTTGTTTCTGGGTCGTAAAAGTGATTTTGGCCCTTGCTAGTGTTTGGATATTTATTTTTTTCCGGTTCACCTTTCAAGAATAAACTTCTCACTCTACCTTTTTTCTCGTCCGAAAAAAATATTCCCATTTTGTTTTTTCACACCTACTCTTCCAAAATACCCTTCCACATTGATATGTTGAACATCTTGCTTTCAAGCCCTGATCCAAACTTTTGGGCTTCAATGTACAAGTGGGGAAGTTCCTTTCGCCTCCTTTACCAAAAATTCGTTAGAGTATTTTAAATTTATTCTGCAATTATTCGTAATTTCTGTCTAAACTTCATATCTGCTTCATACCTCTGTGGTCTTATTTTTGGTATGCTTCTTATACACTGTTGCCTATAAGAATTATGTGGTCACTTTCTGTGATGATTGTCTGAGAATTAATAGTCCTACTGTGATCAGCATGTTTATACATAAGGTGTCTTTAAGTAGTGAATGCCTTAATCCTTTGTGGGTTTGAATTTTTGGGTATGCTTCTTGTACATTATAGCCTTTACATCCATCACAACCCTTTTTCTGCCACTTTTTCCTGGCATTCTATTCCTCACATCAATGGCAATGTCTTGCTCTAATTGTTTCTTTGCAATGGCCCATATGGTACTGAATGTTCTTCTAGACACATTAAATTGTGCAGCAAGCTTGTTGATCTGTCCATACTGAGCTGAGTAAGAACCATTTAGGTTCTGCTTTGAATGTGAAAGTACTGATTCACTTATAACCTGCCTTGTTGCATTGTTTAATTTTTTAGTGTTAATTTGAAGGTTACTCATGTATGTATGCAGGCCTGCTGGACATAAAGATGAAAAAAGGAAGAGGAATAAAGCTGAATGTGAAAGGATTGTCCAAAATATGAGGAAGAGAAAGATGAAGATAGTGGAGTAATGTTGTGTATTTGGAAGTCTTGGGGGTTAAATAGCTTGTAGAATTGGGGAGGAATGTTCTGTATTTGAAGGATTTTTCAAACATTTGGGCGGCATTCCAAAAAAATTTGGAGGAAATGCCTAAATTTTGTTATGTAATTATTGATTTGATGTATGAACCCATATAAGTAAGGAGTAAAATAGTGTAGTTGTTGTACTTTTCTTGCAAGTGGTTCGACCTCCCTCTTTCTCTTCTTTTTTTTCATTAAGGGTAATTTAGGCAATTCATGGCTTAGTCAATCACCCACTATAAATGAGAAAAAATCAAAGTGGGAAGTTTATTCTCGGACGGAGGGAGTATTATAAAAATTTGAAAAAGGAGTTATTTCTTCAAATGATTTTTTACAATAGAGAATTATCTAATAATCTTTTATTTTTATTTATTCTCTTCGTGGGTTTAGACTATCTCGATTGTAGAATGGAAATGTTTGAGAGGAAAAGACATTCGGGGGTTAACTAACTTTTTAATGAGATTTTAAGATTAAAAATGTCTAACGAATTGAAGAATAGCATTTTGGTCCCTATTTTCAAGAATGCACTGGATATTTATAACTCACGAGTTATACGATGAATTTATGAGAAAGAATGGTTAAATGGAAGTTGAGATAAGAGACTCTGGTGTTAGGGAATCAATTTGATTTAGGTTAGGAGTTTCAACTACAGAGGGTATATACTTGGTGAGGAGAGTGATAGAAGAGAAAAAAGCTTTACTTAAGACTAATTGATTTGGAAAAGACATAACAAGATACCAAGAATAGTATCATGGAAGGTGCTAGAAAAAAAAGACTACTAGTTGTGTATTTTTGTGCGACTAATGACATGAATGATGGTGCTACAATGAGCGTAAGAAATCAATGTAGAGTAGCTAAACTCATACTCCCTTTGTTCCAAAATATTCACAACATTTGCTTTTTCAGTAGTCGCGGGAACTTTTGTTTATTTCTACGTTTTCATTGGTTTTTTGGTAAAATAAAATATTCTTGACACCTCTTATTTTTAAGAACTTTTCATGTAGTTTTTTATATGTAAATTTTATTTTTTATTTCCATACCAATATGTAAATAAAATGAATCGAAAAAACTTGATATTTTTCCTCGGGAATACAACTGTGGCAAATATTTAGGGATGGAGGGAGTATTTTTTTACACTAGTATTGGAAGTTATTTTCGATCATATTCGGGAACCTGTATCGTGATGCTTGCTTTTTGCTAATGACATGATACTTATGGACGAATCACGAGAGAATTTGAATGGGAAGTTATGTTCATGGAGACAGGTTTTGGAGTTGCACGACTTGCGTGTTTTGGAGTTGCACGACTTGCGTATAAGTCTACTAAAATAGAGTATATGAAGTACAAGTTTAGCAACAGAATGAGAAACAGTAACATCGAGAAAAACCAGAGAAAATACTAGGGTGAGCATGGTATGGTATTTAGCTCATACCGATACCGTACCAAATATTTTGGTTCGGTATGAGATTTTACTCCGTACCGATCCTGATCCCGAAATATCGGTTCGGGATGGTTCGGTATCGGTTTCAATACAAATCGGGATGAATATACATACCTACTTTACACCTTAAAATTTAACAACGTCCCTTTATTTTTGAAAATTAAAAGTAAATTTAAATAAAAAAACATGAAAAATTAAAAAAAAAATGAATATTTAAGTGCAAGAGATTCGTATCAAAACTTAGTTTATATTTCACAAACTAAAAAAATGAACGACAACAAAGGAGTATTTTGAATCTTTGTGAATACTTTTTATGTTCATACACAAAAACTAAAACTCAAATAAAAGTATAATTTACATATAATAGAACTTGAATCGATTTTTTTAAAAAATTATTATTTAGTGAAGGAATATAAAAATATTACTCCGGGTATTATTTTTTATAATATTTTAGTATATATGTTTGGTTCAAGATTTTCGGTATGGGACGTCACCTCGTACCGTTCCCAAATACCGTACCGACCATTCGGTTCGGTACGGTTCGGTTCCTTCTCGGTATTTTTCGGTTCGGTATTCTCGGTTTTTTCGGGAAATTTTCGTATCGGTTCGGTACTTGCTCACCCCTAGAAAATACTACTCCCTCCGTCCCAAAAAGATTTACACCTTTTAAAAAAATTGCGTCCCACAATCTCCTACCCATTTCTATTAAAAAACCACTCTTACCTCTTACTTTTTAAAACCCTACCTGTCACTTCATACATTTTTCCTAACAATCTACACATCACATCTTACTTTTACACATCACATCAAGGATATTTTTGGAAAGTCAACACAAAATTATCCCTCCCTCAATTTCAACTTTAGTCAAAACGTGTAAATCTTTTTGGGACGGAGTGAGTATAACACAAGTAAACATGTTTAAATATCTAGGGTATATAATTCAAGACAATAGAAAAATAGAGAATGATTTTAACCACATGATTCAAACTGGTTGGTCAAAGTGACGGAGTGCTTTAGTCTCTATATGTGAGAAAAAAGCATCTTTGAAATTAGAGAGAAAATATTATCATATTGTGATTACCGGGTAGTTATATTATATGAAACAAAGTGTTGTGCACCAAATGGTGAACATAAAGTTAGTGTGACCAAAAATAAGATGCTTCTGTGAATGAGTGGTCATTCGCATATGAATAAAATAAGAAATGAAGATATGAGAACTAAAATAAAACTAGCATCTATTGTTGAAAATATAGTGGAAACTCGTCTTAAGTAATTTGTACATGTAAAGAGAACCAATAAAAAATCTATTGAGAAGAGTGGATCAAATGATAAATAGTAAAGAAACAAAAAATGATGAATGGAGATATGGCCAATAAAAGGGATAGATTTAAGAAGACTTACCAACACAAATGCGAATATATATATTTTAAGATAAAAATGATTATATTAAATTTATCTTTATGAAAACTTTCAAAATTTAATTTTATCATGCTAACATGTAATACAAAAAGTCAAAATAGACAAAAAATACTAAACGAAAGTAGCATTTCATAATAAAATATCTCTCAATCTAATCTTCTTTCTTACCTTTTTCCATGTCCGAGATCTCATCTTTGCCGCCGCGCCACTGAGAAGAACTGTGCGCATCCGTTGAGAAGAACAGTACCGGAAAATGGAGAAATAGCGTTGGAACCACACCGGATTTCGTTGAAACAATTTCGGTATTCATAAAGCAGCGTGAGTGGGTCAGCTCCAATCTTGTGATTTGGGCCGCGGCCCAGGAAAGTCCCCGGGCCATATCTGCAGAGATGCAGGCTCGGAAACGAGTCCCCTGCACGGGCCAGATAAACGACCAGTTGGATGGGCTGAGACAAGTGTGGAGCCTTGAATTCTTCATCTGGCTGGACGGGCTTTGGCTGATTTCACAGTAATTCACGTGGCCCTTTGGGCAACTGAACGGGGCTTACGATCCTGCCTCCACACGTGAAATGTGGATCTTCTCACATTTTTTCTTTTTTTACAAATAAATCTTTACTTTTTTTACAAAAAGCCCAACTCTTTTACAATAACAATGCATCAAGAGGTCCATAAAAAGAGCATGAACTTTAAGATCACGAAAAAATTTGTCTTTGGGTAATTGGGTTCCTTTGATATCGTATCGGAACATTGATAATTAATAGGCCACAAGTAAAGATTTTATTGTCACTCAGTAAAAAAGGATTTTTTTATCACGTGCAAAAACGCTTAAATCTCATCTTTACGTGACGAGACATATTATAATATAAAATCTAGTGAAATTTACATTAAATAGGACTAAAAATAGGACTAAAAATAAGTCATTTAGCAATGTAGAACTTAAACTTTTTTTATTCCCTAAATAGTACTCCCTCCGTTATCAAAAACACTTCCTCTTTCATTTTTTCCCTTCCAACAAAACACTTCCACTTTCTATTAAAAAACCACTTTTACCCTTACCTTTTCATACCCTACCTATCACATCATACTTTATCTCTAATAATCTATCTATCAAATCTTACTTTTACCTATCACATCAAGGGCAAAATTGGAAGTCAACTACAATTTAATACTTCCTTATTTTTACACAAAGTCAAAAGAGGAACACTTTTTCCAAACGGAAGAAGTACTTAATAATGTCTAATGGGAGAAATAATGTCCAGTGATAGTGAACATTTACTTGAATAATGACTAATAAATAATAATCAATGTGAAATAAAAATGCATGGTCCTATGTTGAGAAAGTCATTATGTTTAGTCTTATTTAGGTAAATTCCTCAAAAATCTATTATGGGCTTACAACCAAAAGCTTAATTTTTTTGGTTGGATAGATTCTTTGACATCTATTTGATTCATTTGAGTACACTGCAACAATATAAATATTTTGTAAATTCATTTGACATAGATTTCTTAACACTTTGTTTTTAAAAATAAAACACCTAACACATTGGCTATATTATAAATTCATTATATTTCTTAAAGTTATGTTTGGTTCAAGGAATTCGAAAGAGAAAAGAAAATGAAAATATAAAATGAACTAAGAGAGGAGAAATCAAAATTCTCTTCACGCCGGAGAAAAAAATTAGAGAAAACTATTTTCCTTTCTAATTTTTTATTCTAAACATATATAGTACTCCCTCCGTCCTATAATGATCTTCCCAGAGCAATATTCCAACTTCACGGGAATTTATATTTATTTGTGTTTTTTCATGGCCTATATAATAAAATAAAATATTCTTGTCACCACTTGTTTTGTTGAATTTTTGGTGTAGTTTTAAATATGTATGTTTTATTTTTTATTTCTATACCAATATTTAAATAAAATAGATTGAAAAAACTTAGAATTTTTCTTCGTTTGGCGAACCGGGAAGATCATTATAGGAGGGATATGGGGTAAAATTTCCATATTTGGTAGTCATAATTTGTTTTTAATTCTCCATCCACTAAAATTAATGAACTTCTTGATCAATAATAGTGTTACATTCATGCAGCTACTAAACAACAACAATGCATCACTTTAGAGTTCCCCCCACACCACATTACAAACTTTAATTAATTAATTAAACTCCAATTAATTCGTTGATTAATTAATTAACAGCCCTACAATTCCGGCGTATCTCGCCGCCTTCTCCTTCAGCAGGCGCCAGCCTTCCCATCTTCACCATTGAGCTCTTGAAGTTGTCGAAGAACAACGCCGGGTCGTCGACGTACGACTCGACCACCGCACGTGTCTGGTCTTCGCCGCCGTTGACCAGCACGTCGTCCGACGCCAGCAAGCCCTTCCCGGACACGAGGTTGACGTAGTACTCGTTGTCGAAGGTTGCTGGCGTCACGGCGTCGAGATCCGCCAGCGTGGCGTTCACGTCCGCCGCCGGGGAGCAGAGCTGCTGGAGGGACTGAATGAACTCCAAGTTGACGTCCGGCGCGCCGCCGCCGGCGTTGAGCCGGGAGTTGAACGTGAAACACCTCGCCTTTCCTAGGGTGTGTGCCCCTGCATGTCCCATCATGTTTATAAAAAAAGAATATCAACATTGACTTTATCGTTTTCAAAATTAATTTACACTGATAAAAAATTATAAAAGTGTTAATGCTAAATTTTTGGGAGAAGAAAAAATGAGACTACCAGAAAATAAGTATTCTATCTGTCTCATACTCCCTCCGTCCTATAATGTTCTTCCCGGTTATGTTTACGAAGTTTGATTGACTTTATTTTTAATTCAATTTATTTGATTGTAGGTGTAAAATTAAAAAATAAAATTTATATATTTAAAAACTACATCAAAAGTTCTACAAAACAAGTGGTGACAAGAATATATTATTTTATCAAATACATAATGAAAATATGTAAAGAAATTGATTAAAATTTGACCGTGTGAATAGTAAGTGGATAGAACATTTCAGGACGGACTTTTTTGAATGGAATTGACACGCTTTAATAAAGTAGAACTTGTGTGATTGTAGTTTGTATAGAAGAAAGAGAAATAACATAATCACAAAAATTTCATTTTCTCCATCCCGAAAACTTTTCAATTTTAACTACAAATTGTGAGAAAGGTATATTGAATTATAATATAAATTTAATATAATTAATTTCATCTTAGTGTATAGTTTTGATATATCTAAATTTTATAACATTTATTTATTTAGATTATGTTTAATGTAATGTCAAAGAATATCATTGTTTGATTAAAAAAGTCAAAACAAGAAGAGTTTTCAGGGACGAAAGAAGTATAATAAAAGGGGATATTTACATTAAATAACACTAAAACTTAAGTTATTTTCCAAAGTGACACTAAACCTGTTTCATTCTCTAAATAGCAATTAATAATGTCTATAATGTCTAGTGATGACGAACGTTTACGTGAATAATGACTAATAGTGCTACATTGGAAAAAAAACACATATGATACTATTTAGAGAAAATCATTATATTTTAGTGCTATTTAAATAAATTTCTTGAAGAAATAACAGTATGATGAAAATAAAGATGGAATACCGGAAAGAGTGACCATGTCAAGTGGGGAGAGGCCAAGGGCTTGAAACTTGGACACTAAAGTTGGAACATCGGAATTGGGCCCCGGGATGTTGTTGTTAGCGTCTGTTTGGCTGGCTCTCAAACTGTCCTTTCTTCCCATTTCCACTTCCCATGCCGGACCACCTGACTGCGTGAAATTTATAACGCCCACCCAAACAGACCCCATTCAATTAGCACTCTTAATTTGGTTAGTTGTGGGAATTATTAATAAGCTTTAGCTAAGAAATTAAAGAATAGTTCATGCCAAAAAATTGAATATGATACGATACGATATACCAGGAGGACGGCATCCCGGGCAGCAATGGCAAGAATGTCAGCGCAAGACACGGTTTGAGGGCACACGTATTCGAGATCCGCCTTTATCGAGTCTATCACTTCAAACCCCCTTAGAGAGTTCTGGTTCGGTCCCGCTGTTTTCTCCCCCACCATGCTCGGCGTGTCGTCCAGCAACACCGACGCGTCGCACCCCTGCACACATTATTCATCAACACCCAACGTCTCAATAATGCATACGCGCGTCGCGCCAAACGCCAATTGTAACTAATTAAGACGAAAAGGGCATCCCGGGACTCAAATGTACGCGCTCATTTGAAGGTCAAAAGTGTAAAATAACACACTCCCTCCTCCGGTCCTTCCCTTAAAAAACGTCAAATTAATGTTCAAATCCCCCTCGGTATCATTGTCGTCATCCTATCACGGCATTCATACCTTTCCATGGTCGCATCTAATCTGTTCGACCCCGAAATAGTTTCTACTCCTCCCTGACCCCCTACAAACCCTAGCTCATCCCGGCCCGACCCCAACCCGGATATACATTTTTTTAAAAAACAACGATAGGGTGCGCGGAGAGGGAAATATGACGAAATGGAACTTGCATTGACAAAGCAGTCGTGGAAGTGGAGGCGGAGGAGAGAGGCGGCCATTCTGGGGTCGTCGTAAACAGCGGTTTCGACCCAAGAGAAGACGATGGCCTCAGCCTCGGGGCAGACGTCCCTGTAGAGACCCAACCTCAGTATGAAGGTGGCAGTGGCACCATCAAAGCATGTCTCATTTAGGGTATTCATTGAGCTATTCACTCCCCAAACATTATTCATCATCATCATCATCATCATCAACCCCAAGAACAACAAGTGACAGTAGTAGTAGTAGTAGTACATTTTTTTTCTTTTTTTTCTTCTTCTTCTTCTTTATAAAATTAAAATGGGCATGAAATAAACCTTTAGGTAGTGAAAGAAACAGGTTCTTATATTAGATAGACATATATGGTGGTGCTATGTGGCGTAGGTAGCAGAACAAGTCAAAGCTAAAATGAATGATGATACAATTACACATTGCATGTTTAAAAGCCTATTATCATATGTCACAGGTCCCCTCCAGTTTTTGTTATCCATTTTCCAATTTTTGGGTGAACAAATTAATGTGAATTGAATATACAAAAACACACCAAATAATCAACAAGCCAATGGTAGTTTGTTGTTGTTTTCTATGAATGAATAACAAGGTGGTTTCAAGGATTTTGTTGTTTTAACTTCGTTCTTTAATCTTGAGGTATTCTGAAAAGCAGATAACTAAATTGAAACGGAGAGGTGTATTTTTAATGTAAACCCAAAAAACTCAACCGTCTCGTAAAAATTGTCCGATTTCGACTTTATCAAAGTTAGAAAAAGAAATGTTAAAAAATAAAAAATGTATTATAATTAAATTTTTCTGAGTCACGTGCATGTCCGTCTTAAAAGGAACGTGACATTCTCTTAGCTCGAGTAGTGGGAGTATCACCCCCAAGGAATTTAGATGGAAAGCTGATCCAGGTTCGAACCCAATAGAGACATTGACTCCATGCGTTTTAACAGGTTGAGAAAGTATGTATGAATAGTGGCAGGTAGTTTTGAAACTAGACCGGGACCAAGCCCAAGCCATGCCTGTGTTGTCCTATGAATGTTTCAAGCTGTACCTCAAACTGTTCACCTAATCCCCATGTGATTCAGTTTGATGTTGTCACCTATGACCTAGTTTGGTAATTTTAACACCATCCCATCTAATTTTACCATTCATGAATGATGATTCACTTGAAGGCATCCCAGAAACAGAGACTAAAAAAAGAATATCAATTACTGCTTTGGAGTTTGGCCATAGGAGAAGAACTCACAGCTTTACTGTTCAATAACATCCACAGATTTCAAAACTAAGAAACAAAATATGGTTTCTTAAAAACGCGAATTCTCGTGCAAAATCAGTTTTTCTCATAGCTTAATTACTGGAAAGATTATTGGGGGAGTAAAACCGGAAGGGTTCAGTCCTCATTCTACTGATTCCACATGCGCATCAGTATCATCAACAAAGTTGTGGTAGTAAGACTCGTAGGCATAATCGCTCTCGAGGTTCTCCATGGTTCTCCCATACACAAATTGTTTGGTTCCCATAGTTGTAAATGGCAGAAGGCCGAAAGCCCGTGCAGTCTTTATCTCCCTAGCAACTTTCCTTTGGGCCTTGGCACTTATTCCAGTCTGTATGCGATAATCATCAACAACAGCAAGGGTAGAGAGGTCATTAGATAATAAACTTCATATTCTTAACAATTCTTCATAAATAAATCTCACGAAAACTTGACAGAATCATTTCACTGTTTACCGTGCTCCTCTTGATGATAATTCCAGCGTCTGTGATGAAATTGGCAAGAAATCTAACATTCTGTACACAATTTAAATGAGTCAATAGTGTGGCAAATTAACGGTGATTGGTGAGAGAGAATTTACCGTGTTCAAGAGGCCATTTTACCATTTAAATTTTTAAAACGTTGGATATAGACAAGAGAACATATTAATTAAATAGTGCAGAACCAAACACTCACCCTGAAATCAGCTTTTTCCAAGACTTCCTTTGTTGTCGTTTGAAATGATGGCCTTTTCCATGGCTTTTGTACTGCTCGTTTTCTTAGATCAAGATCCTGAATTGAACAAAAATTAAAAAAAATGTTGTCGTGAGTGAGACCAACGGATAATTACTGTGCTGGGAGAGGACATAAACTATCACAAATGATTCCACACAGAAGAATTCTAAATTTCATGTGTGGGTACCTTAGTGTCATAAGTATTCCCAGGGAAAAAAGCCACATCCTTTCTGAAAGAATAACCATCTTTCTCAACTTCAACAGGATCAAACTCAAAATATGCAGCTGCCTCCTTCAACTTACTATCCATTCCATCACACAATGTGTTAATACTCTCATCCAGACCGTCTAAAGATGCTGAAGTATTTTCTGAATTGACACCGGATCCCTGAAAAGATTTGTTGTACTCTCTCTCAGCCCTATCAAGTTGATGGTAAAAGGATTTAGATGCTGATGTTTTCCCGGTAGTATCACCAAAAGGCTGCTGCTCAGAGTAATTTCCAAACTCGAATTTGCCTTGATTGAACCTTTTATTATCTGTAACAAAAAGAAAAAATATATTTATTTAAAAAAAATCTGAAAGTAGCTTCGTGAGATTATTTGAGACCTTATCAAAATTGAAACATTTTAGTAAAAACCAATCCCAAACCCATAGAATCACGAAAAGGCCTTTGCTCTGAGTAATTGGGGGACTGGAATGAACTTCGATTAATCCTGCTATTATCTGCACCTAAAAAAAACTATGTAAAGAATCCTGAATATAGCAACATCCAATTTATGAAGACATCAGAAACTTTTTTTAAAAAAATAAAATAATTACAAACCAAATCCCGGATTCGTATGTCTATAATCTCTCTGAGCTCTATCAACACGTTGGTAATATGGTTTAAAAGTTGGTGCACTCCTGAAAGTGCCATCAATAGGCCGTTGCTCAGACGGGTTGGCAGGCTCAAATGAGCGTTGATTAAAACTGCTATCATCTGCACCAAAAAGCTAAAATACATAAAGAGTTCTAAATATAGCAACATGAGATCAACATTTATTTATATCAACTTAAGATTATATACAAACCAAATTCCTGATTCGTAGAAAAGGTTCTGATCATTTTAGAGCTGCACAACTTCCTAGAAACCCCAACATTGGCATAAACCACAATGCCTAGAATAGATTTCATCCTGCAATGAACCTAATAAATTAAAATAATTGTTGCACTTCACAATGTAGGAAAGCACACAACAGATTTACCTAAGAGAGTTGGAGGAGTTGGAATTTTGAAATCGAGGGAACAGAGGGAGGCTGGAACTTTTGGAAGGATGGTTTATTTTGTTATGACTAACCAGTATAAAAACGACTTTTTTCAAAAATAAAATACTCATAAATAAAAAAATGCTAAAATGACATTGCTCTTAGGATTTAAATTTTAAATATTAAAATTTATGCATGAAACACTTTTCTATTTGGCCAACTATATCATACGCCCCTGCATTCCATTACAGACATCTATGAAAAACTTGAATTAGCTGTACTGAGAAAGCAAGGGTTCGTACAACAACAAGCAATGGCAAACCCAGAAAAATCAACCCATGGGGTCCCTTGTCTGAAATAATATGATCAAAGTCGGTGTGTTTCCAGGTTGGATTATGACTAAACCAAATCATAAATTATTGCTCCTTTATATTACAAAGATAACACCAAATTTGTATTGAGATAATATTGTGCGGTAAACTGAAAATTATTCATAAAGTTACATAACACATACTCCCTCCGTCCCAAAAAGATTTACACGTTTCAAAAAAATTGTGTCCCACAATCTCTTACCCATTTCTATTAAAAAACCACTTTTACCCCTTACTTTTTCAAACCCTATCTATCACATCATACCTTTTTCCTAATAATCTACACATCACATCCTACTTTTACCCATCACATCAAGGGTATTTTTGGAAAGTCAACACAAAATTATCTCTCCCTTAATTTCAACTTTAGTCAAAATGGGTAACACTTTATGGGACGGAGGGAGTATAAAATATGTATTATATAATTATTTTTCCCTGGTTTTCATATCTTGAAAGTGATTTATTATAACATCATCACTAAGAGTAAAACAGACATCTCATGGTCAGCTTTCGAACGTTCAAAATCAATATTTTTCACTTGAGTTCGCATGTCAGGTAATATAGTTTCAAGTTCCAGCTGAGAAATTAGTTGTTGTAATTGTTCATTGCAAGATGGAGGTTCATTCGAGTACAAATTGGAGCTACTCTCACTTGATTCAATTTCATTAAATCTTGGGTGTGTTTTAAAATATCTAAGCATCCTAGATTAACAATAGTCGAGTAATAGTTGACAAATTATAAATAATAAGCCCGTAACAAATAAACTATATACTCCGTATTAAATAAACAAATAACCCTAATTCCTAAAACCCTAATAGCTGCTCATTTGCTGATGGAGAGGAGAAGTATGTATCATAATTCATAATTAGTTTGGTCTCTAGCAGGTAGAACACGAGATGGAGGGGAGCTGTTTTTTCATTCTGTTTTTCTTTGCGAAACAGCTAATGGTTGTAATTTCTTTCTGCATTTCATTAAATAAAACTTCTCCTTTTTCGCAATAAGAAAATTAAACCCTAGAAACTAAATTAACTAGATAATGGAACAATACTAATTACTTGTTGAATCGAAAGACCAATCTAAAAAACAAATTAACGATAAAACGATCTAGAAAGTCAAGTTTCAGTTTAATTTACGGAGTAATTAGTTACCTTGATGATTGATGAATGCTATGTAATAATGGAAGAATATCAATTCATGAAGACGCTCCAAGAGGAAAGAGAGGCGAGGCGGCGAGGGCGCATCGGAAATGACGGAGAGGAGCGGTGGTGGCCGGTGGGACGTCGTCGACTGGTCGGATTTGGTTCGGAGTCAGAGAGAGTGAGAGTGAAATTTTGGGGAGAATTCAGTCAGGATAACGGAAATAAAGAGTTCTAATGGGAAGGCAGGTAGGGTTGAGTAATAATCCTTATTTTTAAAAGTAATTCTAAATATCGTATTTAATAATTACGGAGTATATATTTTTTCATATAAATTTGAATTAATCATTGATATGATACAAGTATTTTAAAAATAATAAAGATTATAATCATTTTAATTATTATTATTAATTACCATTACTATTATTATTGTATTATATATTATTATTGATTATTATTAGTTAATAATAATAATAATTACTATTATTATTATTATTGTAATTATTTTATTAGTTAATACTAATAATTAATATTAGTAATTTAATTATTATTATTAATTACTATTACTTTCATTATTAAGTACGATGATAATAAATTATAA